CCTGGTGTATGTTACCGTGTAGACCAGCCCTGACACATGTTACCATGCCTGGTGTATGTTACCGTGTAGACCACCCCTGACACATGTTACCATGCCTGCTGTATGTTACCGTGTAGACGAGCCCTGACACATGATAAGAAGGAAAGAACACAGACCCAACAGGAAACAGATGGAACAAGCTGAGACCACAGTCAGAAACAGTTGCCAGGACCAGGAAGGGGGGAGGCTTTAACTTCGGGTGATGGGGCCCCTTGGTGACCCAGTGGGTGAAGTGCTCACCCAAGAACAGAGTTTGGTGGCATGAGCCCACCAGCCTCTGCTCAGGACAAAGCTGGCCACCTGCTCCCAGGGTCATGGCCTTGGGCCCTGCGGGGTGGCCGCCTCTGTCCTCCGGGTCCATTTGAGAGGACTATGGGCTGGGTCGCCTAGCACAGACCTAGGTCAATATCAGAAACGAATGCCAACCTTTGACCTTGTTGATGAGGTTGCCGGCTGCTGTGAGGGTCTCCACTGTGTTCAGTAGGGGGTATCTGGTGTTGACCTGCCGAATCACACGTAGGGCCTCCCCCAGGCTCTCCACGGCCAGCGGCCGGCGGGCCTCCAGGAGGTCTGGGGACACAGTGAGAGGGGACACTGAGGCAGGGCTGGGCTGCCAGTCCCCTATTTAGAATGACTCCACCTGCCAGAAAACCAACTCCTTCTTGATCTTTCACCTACAGTCCCTGCCCCATCTCCCCAAGATCTACCTGGTCCTGCCTGCCCTGGGTCTGGGGGTTCGAAGCTGTGTCCTGCTCCCCCAGCCCCATGTCTTCTCACTGTCCTAATAGTGTCCCATGAGGCAGAACTCACACCACCCCCACTTGACAGAGGAGGAAACTGAGGCAAAGAGAGAGGAATTTGCCTCTCTGCCATCACATGCCATCTACAGTCACATCTGACCGGGAGCCCAGGGCTTTTTTCCTTACACAAACGCACACACTCACACACACACATGGGTACAGGTGGGGCAACAGACTGGGGTGCCCGGAGAGCCTGGCTGCAGCCAAGCAAACAGCTCTGACCCCTCTGTCACCTTGGAGCGCCTGACCCCAAGCCACCTATCAACACACACACACACACACACACACACACACACACACACACACACACACACGGGCATGAGGCTGTCCACCTTTGCTGAAGCTAACAGCCTCGTGTATTTCTTCCAAGGTGCACTGGTAGGTTTGAACTGCCGACCTAGCCCTCTAGTCTCCTATGCAGGATGCTTAATTAAAGGCTGGGCCCTAAAACCAGGGGCCGTGCCTTCTCTGCACCGATCACGGGGACCCCCTAGGACCCCAGCTCCAGTAGCCCTTCCCTGACCCTCACAACCTCAGCACCAAGCCCCCTGCCCCTGGAGACTGTTGCCTTACCTCTGGCCCTGGGTATATGGTCCCCCAGATTCTTACCACCCGGTATGATGGGGTTTCTGGGGCCCAGCCAAGGTCAAACAGGCTGTGACCAGTCTGCAGGAGCCCCCCACCCCAAGTGGAGTAGCCCCGCCCCAACTCAGGTGCTCAGGGGATGCCCCCAACCCCTGGTTGGCCCACCAGATATCTAAAGCAAAGGCAGGTGGGGAAACAGGCCCAGAGAAGCGCTATGGGGAAGGGGCACGGACCTGCCACCACACCAGGGTCCCCAGTCCCAGCAATGGCCACAACAAACACGGGTCCAGGAGCACACTGGGGCTGGATGTTCAGAGCCGGGGAGACTCCTGGATCCAGGTTTAGAGGAGGGGGCCAGGCGCAATGGGTTAGCAGGTGGGGTGGGTTGCCGACCACAAGGCCAGCAGTTCAAACCCACCGGCAGACATGAGAGAGAAAGATGAGGCTGTCTGTTCCTGTAAGGGTTTCCAGCTTGGGAAACCACAGGAGTGGCCCTTCCTAGAGGGCCACTGTGAGTCAGCATCACCCGATGTCTGGTCTTTTGGTTTGGGGAGGCTCATGGGAGATCCGGGTCTTCCGTTATCAGACCTTTCCTCTGTGCCCCTACCTCCCAGGAACAAAGGGCCCTATCGCTCTCCCCTCCCTCCAGCAGCCTTAGGCCGGCCTCAAAGGAAGCTCATACAGAAAAAGAACTGAGATTAGCAAGTTTCCCTAGGAAGCTGGGCCGCCCCGCCCCGGGACCACAGGGATCTGAGTCTCCCTGCATGGCTAGGCTGGCTCTCTGGCACCGCCCAGCCACCAATGGGCTGTAGTGGAACAGGGACTGGGGTCCACTTGGGGCCTCTGTTTCCTCCTCTGTTGAATGGTTGGCTGGTGGGTGGCTCAGATAGCTAGGTCCAGCCTGGTACACACTTCCGGGAGGATGAGGGGCCCAGCAGAAGCCAAGGTGCCGGGCCTGCCTGTGGTGCCCACCGGGCTGCCAGGGACAGACAGGAAGCTGATGAAAATAACTGGGCAGGAAGCCGGGCTGTTGGCAGCCACACGCGGAGGAGAGACCCAAGCCTCACCAGAGGCAAACGCACTCCCAGTGGCTCTCCTGCAGTCCTGCCTCTTGTCCCTCCTGAGTCTCTGGCCGCCAGACCCAGGTCTCATCCCATAGCTGCTGCAAGCTTTCTGGCAGCTCCCCACTGGCCCCCCTCCCCGACACTTCCTGCCTGGGCGTCACACATTCCACATGCCAGCTGCTGCTGTTCCAAATGGGCCCTACCATGTCCAAGGGCTTCTAACCACATGGTTGGTGGTTCAATCCACCAGCTGCTCAGAGGGAGAATGTTGAGGCTTTCTAGTCCAGGACAGAGTGATTTGATGGCAGGGAGTGCAGTTTCGTTTTGGTGACTCGACCCTGATGCCACCAAACTCGTACACACCCCTCAAAGCCTCTGCTACAATGCCCTCTTCCCCACAGCTCTCCTGGTAACCCCATTTTGAGCCTCCTCCCATGCCTCCTTCCACACAGCCTGCCCCACCTCCCTATCCTTGACCCCCAGCCCAGGCCCCAGGCTGCCAGCCTCACCTTCACGGTGCACGCACTCTCTGAGCTTCTCCAGGGCCTCAGCAAAGCGGGCCACTTCAGTCAGGAGGCAGGCGATGTCGTCAGCGGCATCGAGGTAGGTCCCCTCGGCGCTCAGGTCCGCAGGGTTGGCGGCTGTCAGTGGGCTGCGGTGGCCCCGGCCCAGCGTCCAGGTGCCAGGTCCGGACAGTGGGAAGCCTGCAGCACTGGCATGCCGGCTCAGGCTGGTGGGCCGTTTGAGTGTCCCTGCAGCCTTGGTACTGGATGCCACGGCTGGAGGCTCCAGAGCAGTCCCAGGGCCGGCTGCATCCGCACCGTCTTTCCTGGGCAGCTCCTGGGGTGGGCAGGTTGGGGATGGGGCAAGGGGGAGGGATGCGGGGCCCTAGCACACACTGCCTGTTTCCCCAGAAGTAAAGTGGGGCTCTGCTAGGGTCAAAGGCCAGAGGTCACAGGGCTGAGATTTGATGTAGCCTCCCCCTCCTCCCTTGTTACCCAACATCCTCTTCTCTAACGCTTTCACAAACAACCGTCTCTGCCCAGGCCGCAACTGGGGGCGGGGCCTGCAGGGTGCAGGGAGTTGTCACCCCACTTCCTGATGGGGGTGGGGAGCGCCTGGGGCCCTGGGCCCACTCAGGCCCCACTGACGCACCCACTTCCCTGTGATGTCACCACTAAAGTTTCTTTCACGCTAAGGGCCACGCAGACCCCCTGGCCCATGGACATGGCCTGGGACTCTTAGGCACCTCCAAGACCCAAACCCCCACAGTCTGCCCCTCCCCCAAGTCCCAGAGATGACCTCCAGGCCTCATGGATCCTCAATTCCTAGAGACCTCCAAGGGCCATGGAGAACCCCAACATGCTAGGTGCCTCCCAGGCCCCCAACACCGAGCCTCTTGAACCCCCTCCCCACCTCCCACCCCAAGCCATCCCATAGAACACCCTGTGGCTCTATAAACCACTCAGCCATCCCTCACAACCCCGTTGTCCCAGTGGTGTTTGGTCCCCATTTCCCTGAGAAGACCCCTTCCTAAACCAAGACCCCTCCCTGGCACCTGCCCCACCCGCTGCCCAGGCCCTAGTTCTGGTAGCTACACCAAAGGCCCTATTCTGGCCCAGTGTTGATGTCCCCTCCTGTCATCTAGGGTGGTGCCTGCAGACCAGTCCTGTGGAGACTGCCTCTGGCCCCATCGAAGGCAGGCCCAGCATGGCATGGCTTCCGGGTCCCTCCAGCAGGTCTGCCCTGCTCCTGCAGGTGTGGGGGTCTCTGCCCGCGCGCGCGCGCACACACACACACACACACACAAACTCACCGCCAAGGCCTGCGGGCTGGGGCTCCCCGCCCGGGTCTTTTTGGAGATGGAGGGGGTCTTCATGAGGTCTCGCTTCTTCCTGGAGAACATGGTGCTGGACGGAGGCCGCTGGGGGCGGCAATGGGGTCTCAGCGGCCAGGGGACCACATCCTCGCAGGCCACCCCTTACCCCGGGCTGTCAGGCCAGCCTCCCCCTCCCCCGCCAGGAAAAGGCCTCTGGGAGGCCCAGGAAGATTCAGACCTGCTCACCACCCTCCCTACCCCACGGCCACCTCGGCCTGCTCCTCCACACAGTGGGCGCGAAGGTGCGGCCAGGCCCCACCCACCCGGCCCCGCCCCACCCCGGCCCCCACTTCCTCCTTCCCCGGACGGACGCCCTAAGACTCAGAGCGCCACAGGACACCGCGCAGAAGGAGACTGTCACGCGGTCGGTCGGCGTCACAGCAAGGTCAAAGCCTTGCACAGCCTCAGACCCCAGCCTCAGCCCCCTCCCAGAGCACTAGAGCCCACCCACCCACCCAAAAACTAAACCAGATTCCCTGGCGCCGAGCTTCACAGCGACTCTATGAGGGAACTACTGCCCCAGTGGGCTTCGGAGACTGTCACGGTGAGGGTCCTCTTTCTCCTGCACCCCTGAGTTCCAGCCAGGACACACCCAGACCACCTTCCCGAACTTCCACGTGGGGTGACCCCTGCACAACCCCAAGATGGCTGCGTGCGGCCCTGCAGCGGGCTGGCACATGGCCCCACCAGGTATCTAGGCGAGGCTGCTGAATGGACAGACGGACCCCACTCGTCCTGGATGGCTGGGGCGGAGGCTACCCAGCCCTCCACGTCTGGGAGTGCCTGCAAGCCCCAGTGTGTGACACTCGGGCATTGTGTGACAATGGCGACATCGTCCCCAGGGATGTCACCAAATTGGTACCCCCTTCTCTCAGCTCCCCCCTCCACCCCACCTTCAGAACTGACCTCGGAGCCGCAGGGCATGCAGCCCCAAAGCCCCAACCCCACTGCTAAGCCAAGGGCCCTCATTGAGGCGCCTCTATGGCCAAGCCACACGGAGGACTGGGGTGGGGAGGGGGGCCCCACCATCGACCAAGCCCAGGCGCCACCCACTCACGGGCCCGCAATCCACGCGCTGCAGGCCGGCTTCAGGCTCACGCGGGCGCATGCGCGCGGACACACTGGTTTGGTGAAGGACCGCAGACGTGAGGGGTACCTGCGCGGCCCAGGGACCTGCGACGTCAGACCAGCAACCTGGCCGACACCTTGGCGTCCACACGCCACACACAAGCAGTACAGACGGTGACCAGACACGCACACAGTAAGACCTCCTCTTCTTTATTGCCCCTCGCCCAGCCCAGCGCCCAGCCCTGGGTCCCCAGCCAGTCCACCCAGTGGGCGGGGCTCAGAGCACAGTCTCCACCAGTTCGGGGTCGCACAGGAAGCCGCTGTTGCCTTCGGGGGCGGGGGCGTGCGGCCCCTGCGCCTGGCCCTGGCCCACGCCTGCCCCCTTCGCGTCCGCTTGGCCCTCCTCTGTCCCTTGGCCTTGGGAGAAGTACAGGAATACCTAGCGGGGGGCAACAGCAAGGGGACGAGTGGGGGACAGTAAGCCTGCTGGCCTGCCGCCCCTGCGCCCACCCCCCACCCCCCCAGGCCCCGCAGGCACCTCCTCCAGCGTGGTCTGGCTCACGGAGAAGTCCTCGATGCCGTGCTGGGCGCTGTGGGCCGCCAGCTCGCTGAAGACGCGCGCCAGGGCGCAGGGCCCATCTGGCGGCAGCTGGAAGCGCAGGAGCCCGCCATGCGCCTCCCGCAGCTCGGCCCCCGGGAAAGCCGCCGCCACGAACTCAGTGGCGGGCTCGGGCTGCGCTGCGGGCACCCGCAGGACCAGCGTGTGACCGGCCCCAAACCTGCCAGGGAGGTCGCGTTGGGTCCGCCCACCCGGTACACCTGGCCTCACCCTCCACCGCTTAGGCCGCCGCACTCCAGCCAGCCGCTAATCCCCAACTCCTCCACCGCTGACCCCAGCTCCTGCACGCTCCTCTCTGGGCCCCTCCTGGCCACCCACACTCACCTGAGGCCCCGCCCACTCACCTGCTCTTGAGGTGCTGCGCACTGCCCAGGCAGCGGAACCTGCCGTTGGTCATGATGGCCAGGCGCGTGCAGAGCGCCTCGCACTCCTCCATGCTGCAAAAGCCAGACCGGAACCGGGGGACCCTGGGTCAGGGCTGGCCCTCGTCGCGCCCCTCCCCTCCCGTGTCTCCCTGTGTGTACGCCTGGCAGTGGTGCAACCTGAGCCCTCCCTCCCGGACCGCACCGCCCCAGCGCGGGACCTGCACCTGTGCGAAGTGAGCACCACAGAGTGGCCTGCCCGCACCACGGCCAGCAGGCTGTCCCACAGAAAACGCCGTGCCCGGGGGTCCATGCCCGTGGTGGGCTCGTCCTGAGAGGGGTGCACTGTTGTAAGTCTGGCCCCGCCCAAGGCGGGGGTTGGGTGGAGGCCAGGGCAAAGGCCTGCCCCTAGCCTACCCAGGACCACCACCAGGACCAGGGCTGCCCCCAACCACCCAGGGCCAGGGCCAGGCCAGCCACTGGTCCCACCCACCAGGAAGACCACAGCTGGGTCCCCGACCAAGGCCACTGCTGTGGCCAGCTTCCTCTTGTTGCCGCCACTGTAGGTGCCTGCAGGCCGGTCAGCATAGCGCCCCAGGCCCAGGCGTGCCAAGCCGGTGCTTGCGCTCTGTGGGTGGGGTCAGAGAGCACACAGGGCGGGGTCGAGGGTGAGTAGGCGGAGTCTGAGAGGGAAGGGCAGGTTCCTGGGCTGGATTTGGGGTGGGGGGACAGGGCTGGGCTGCGACACCACCCCCCCTCCGCCAAGCTCACCTGGGCAACCTCCGATTCAGGTATGCCACGCAGGCGCGCAAACAGCTCCAGGTGCTCCCGGCCGGTCAGCAGCTCGAAGATGGCGTCAGACTGTGGGCAGTAGCCCATGCTGCGGTGTGCCACGGACGGATCCTGGGCCACACTGGAGGGTAACAGGGGGCTCAGGGACTGGCTAGAGCCCGGCCCTGCTGAGTGGGGGCACATGGGTTTGGGGGTCTGGTTGGAGGTGTCTCTAGACCCCCTGATGAGCCCGCTTACCTGTGGCCTGCTAAGATGGCGTCACCACCACTGGGCAGCAGGTCTGCAGTCACCATTCGAAAGGTGGTGGTTTTCCCTGCTCCGTTCACCCCGAGCAACCCAAAGCACTGTGGAGACAGACGCATGGCTGAGCCAGCGTCTCTTGACAGCCCGGTGTGGGGCTGTTCCTGTTTGAACAGGGGCCCTTGGGGCGGCATAACACTGTCACTTGATGGCAAGCAATTGTGGCCACCTGTGGGATGTGTTCGGTCTAACTGACAGACACTGGGCCGGGAGGCCGTGTTCCCTGGGCACATGTGCACCTGTGGCGCTGGGTCAGGGGGTCCCTGCAAGGACTCTAGGGCAGGGGAGACAACCCAATGCAGGCAGCTTTGTGGGCATACAGGAAACATGTAGCAAAGAGCACGGGACACGGGCTTACAAAGTGAGGCTGGACGCTGGAAGGTGGTGAGTAAACGCAGATCCATACACAGGGGGCAGGGGCAGGGTTTGAATATAGTTCATGTCAGGGGCTGTGAGCAGTCACATGGGACAGCTGTCGGCAGCTGAGGCTCACTCGGTGCCTGCTGGCATGCCACACAGGTTGGTGTCCACATACTCAGGTTGCTTAGAAAGGTTTGCTGCCACACGGGCAGGTGGAACATTGGAGGTGCTTCAGGAAGGCTTACTGGCACAGGAGTGGGCACTCATCAGGAGCCCAATATGTATGCTACCCGGGATCAAGCTTCCTCAGACCTGCTGCACACAGTAGGGCTAAAGCCACATCAGTGTACAACTGGCATCCATGGCCTCTGTCAGCACACAGCGGGGTGTTGATAGAGAACTGTGTGTGCACAGTTTTGTGAAGGTTAGCAGGCATTCAGGAGGGCAGCCCCTCACTGGACTTACCTCCCCTGGAGGGATGCCCAGGCACAGGCGGTTGACAGCCAGCATCTTCTGACCACGGTACACCTGGGGTGGGGATGAGGGGAGCACGTTCCTGGGGATGTGTAGGCGGGCTGGCAAAGAGCACCTCAGCCCCTCCTCTGGGCGCACTCACCTTGGTCAGGTCCCTCAGTACCAGCACATCCCCCTGCGTGGCCCCGAGCTCCACCCGCTCCCGCTCCCGCGCCACATCCTCGTCTTCTTCCCCCAGAGGCGGCAGAGAGCGCAGCTTGGGTCTAAGGACCAAGGAAAATATGGACCACAGCTGCCACCCCCCCCTCCCAGCCTTGCCCCTCCCCGCTGCCAGGCCCCACTGACTGTGGAAGGAGACGGTGGCGGTTCTGCAACAGGATTGTGACGGTGAGGAAGAGGGGCCCTTGTATTGCCATGGCCAGGAGGTTCTTGCCGACCACCTCCCAGCGCAGGGGCGACTGGAACTGCCTTTCTCCTGTGGGGTCAGGGAGGAGGAACTAGGCCCTGGGCCCTCGGTAGGCTTCCAGCCCTGTCCCAAACCCAGGCCATGCTGGATTTTTAAAGGAGAGGGCTAGGGATTGGAGGAGTCACCCAATGGAGGGCTGCCCGTCATAAAAACTAATGGCATCATGGCCTCCCTTAGTTAGAGTCTTAGACCTCTTATCATGCAATCCAAAGTAGATTCGCTTTTATAGCTGCCCTTTCAGATCCAAGCTTGGGTCTACATAAGACTCCTGCATTACAAATGACTTGGGTGACAATGCCTAAGGCATGGCACAGCTGGTGGGATGCTCTCACCCAGGCGCTCAAAGGCGTCTGCCATGGCCTGGTTGCGCACCATGTCGATGAGCCCTCGGCCCAGGCAGAAGTGCGGGAAGACGAGGAAGACTCGCTTCAGGACCCGGCTCACGTCCTGCAGCTTCTGCTCGGGAACAGGAGTGGGGAAGTAGGTCAGGGCCGGGGCACAGGTCCTGTCGGGGACCCAGCATCCCGGCGCCCCACCTGGTCATCGAAGAGCTCCAGCACGAAGGTGGCCATGCTGCCATTGATGCCAATAAAGAGGTTGATGCAGGTGAGCACCACGTAGGCCGTGCTGGGCACGGAGAAGAAGAAGGAGGCTGGGTACATGAGAGGCGTGATTGACCAGCTGAGGGGGAACAGAAGTCAACAGGGCAACTGCTCAGACACAGCTGAGCAGCCCCAGGAGGACTGCAGGGCTTCCCTCTCCCAGCCTGTGATTGAGGCATGCTGAGCTTTTAAGGTCTCTTCAGCACATTACTGGCTCATGCGCCATGGCAGTCACCTACGACCTCTCGAGACACGGCAACTGTCTTTTCTCCCTTCCCAGCCCGAGGCAAGGCAGGAAGAGATGGGTGGGGAGAGTGGGTCTCCAGGAGCGAGGGTCTCACCCATATAGTAGCAGCAGCAGCAGGAGGGCAGGCAGGTTGTCAGGGGCCACATAGGCCTTCTGCTGGAAGGCCAGGAAGATGAGCACCACAAGGCATGCTGACACCAAGTAGCTACACTGCAGGGGGACGGCAGGTGTGTGTTTGGGGGGAAGATGGGGGACTGCCCCCGTCAGCTTGGTGCCCCACCCTGACCGCCCTGCTTTGGGGACAAGGAGGCATGAGGTCTCCAAGAACCCTAAGACCCTCCCCCAGGCTACCCTGAGCAGGAGGGGTTGAAAGGGATGGTGCTGGGCCCCCTGCCCTCCCCCACGGCCCCCGCACCATGTCCCAGAGAAAGTTGCCAAGCCAGTAAAAGGTGGGGGGAAGGCCCCCCATGAGCTGCAGGTGTTTGGCTCGGGTGACACGCTCCTCGATGAGGACCAGGGTGAAGCTGGCTGGGACGAAGGACATGGCGAACACCACGCAGATGGAGACCAGGACGTCCACTGAGGAAGCCATTCTGGAGGTGAGGGTGCAAGGGCTGTTGAGGGGTGTTTATAAGCCGATCAAAGCAGGGGGGGGCCGGGTCCCTAGTGGGACAAAGAGCTGTGGGCTAGTCCTTGGAGTGGGGGGCGGGCACGATGGCAAGGGTGTTTAAGGAGGAGGGTGGGGGGCCACTGGCAGGAAGAGATAGGCTGGAGGAGGGAAGATGATAAGAATGTGGGGACCACAGGGTGACCCTGAGAAGATAACTCACAGGGCAGCCTCAGACAGCTGCTCCTTGGTGAGGTTCAAGGGGTGGTTGATCGTGGTGATGCTGTGGGCATGCTGAGTGGGGCCTGAGGGTAGGCTGGCACGTAGAATTGCATTGTTGGCTCGGTTGACAAAAGCCACCATGGCGTGCCAGCCTTTGTTGTTGAACCAGACCTGGGGCGGGGCCAGCAGGGCACAGGGTCAGGGCAGGGATTTGGGGTGGGCCTCAAAGGTGCTCCACCCACACCCCAGCTCCCACCTTGAGGCTGTCCTGGACATGGAGGCCGAGCGCCCAGGCTGTGAGGCTGTTCAGGACGCGGTCCAGGGCCCCACCAGGTTGGGGGTTCAGCAGCACCCGCACTTCCTCCAGCGAGCGGTCCACATCCTGCCCGGAGGGCAGGTCTGGGTCCCGGCCCCCCAGCGAAAAGCCCCCATACCTGCATGGCAGCAGCAAAGGGGAAGCTGAGGGCCCAGGAGGGTCAGGTGGGGACAGAAACCCCAAGATGCAAGGAGGGGTGCTGGGATGGGAACCAGGCAGGGGTCCCTTCATTGGGGCTATCCTCACCTGACTTCATTCACCCATTTCTTGCTCTTCAGGCTGTGGAAGAGATGCACAGAGGCAGAGAGATGGGGGAGGTGGAGAGACGAACAGAAACAGAGACAGTCATAGAGAGATGGAGATGGGTTAACAGAGGCAGAGATAGGGCGACAAGAAGAGATGGGGAGATGGGGAGAGACAGCCCGGGACAGACAGGACAGAGATATGAGGAGAGAATTGAAGGGAGATGTGTGAATCAGGAGCAATCTGGGGGGCCCCTGCCTGCAGCCTCAGGTGGGCCCACTGAGCAGCTCGCCCTGACATGACCAGTCCACCCCCAGCTCACCCCGGGCGCACCAGGCGCGGGTAGGTCTTGACCAGGAAGTCGGACAGGTTGCGGCCAGTCAGGTTCTGCACCATCTCGCCCGAGGCTGTCACCAGCTGGGGCGGGGGCAGTCCCCCAGCCGCCGCCGGGCAGTCGGGTAGCAGGCGGCGGGCACCAGTCTGGCTGCACTGACAATCGGGAGAAGGAGACTCGGGAGTCCAGTTGCCGCTGGCGAAGACCCTGGCCACGTCGGCAGGCACCGCAGGTACGGAGAAGAGGCAGGTGGGGGTTGGCATGCAGGTGGGCGTCCTGCAGGGTGGAGGTCGGCAGGGTAGTGGCCACCCAGGCTTCTGGAACACCAGCTCCCCAGCAGTTGTTGGTGTCCTCTGATGCCCACCACCCAGAACCCAAATAGGAAACTGGGGCCTGGTTTAGGTGTGTGTATGGGAGGGGTGGGGGGTGTCACCTGGTGGAGATGTTCTGGGGGTTGGGCCACTCCAGTCCTGCCTCTTCCAGCAGGGACTCAAGCAGGCGGGCGTGTGCAGGGTTCCCAGGGGTGTCCTCACTGTGGGGGGTGGGGAAGAAGTCAGAGCTGTGCCCACGGGCCTAGCCCTGCCCCGGCCCCACACACCCACCTGAAGAAGGACACCTGGGTTCCATACAAGGCTGGACTGAGCCGCAGCGGGGGGTAGTCTTGGAAGCGGGGCACGATGAGACTGAACACCAGCGCCAGGCCCACAAAGAGGGCGGGCAGGATGATCTGGGGACCAGCCCGTCAGCACTGCCTGCCCCCCAGGCTGACCACAGCACCCCTTCTTCCACTCTACCCCATTACAGCCAACACCCCTACCCTTCCTGTACTCTACAATCAGCTAGAAGCTACTGAAACCCCACGCTTCCCCACCCTGTCTCTATAGCCACCATGGCTCCCAGACACCCCCAGCCTCCCCTGTTCTCTCTCTTCAACCAGCGGTGGCTCCCTGCTGCCCTGAGTTGGCATGTTCAGAGGGAAACATTGGGCACCAGGTAGCCGGCGAGCAGGGAGAACTGGTCACTGGCCCTTTACCTGTGCAAACAGGCCTCGGCGGCTGCGGCGGGCCAACAAGAAGCGCTTGAGAAGCAGGGCCCGGAGCTGCTGGTAGGTCAGGAGCCAGCCCTGGACTCGGCCGGTGGGCTCCAGGCTGGAGTTCTGCAGGGCCTGGGTTTCCAGGGCCAGTCCAGCTGTGGGGGACAGGCGGTTAGTGCTCACGCCGGGTCTGGGCCAGGCCCCGGGGGGCCCCGTCGGGACTCACTCAGCTCCTGTTTGTCCAGGGCTGTGTCTTCTGGCTGCACGACGGCCCGCGAGGACCTGAGGGGGGCTACAAGGCCCGCCGGATGCCGCCCAGGGCTACCGTCTGCGGGGCAGCAGGAGTCAAGGGTGAGTGTGCTGCCTGAAGCTAGGGTCAAGGGCTGGGGTCGTGGGTGTGGGGTAGGGCCCTCTGGGTCTTGGGTCAGATATCAGGTCCAGCTCTGAGCCAGGCCCGGGAGCAGCGGTCACACCTGCTGGGTCAGCATCCACGCCTCGGTCCTCCACCACCTTCAGGAAGATCTAGTGGATGGGATGAGAAGGCAGGGGCGCAGGGCTTAAGGACTCACATGGGGAGAGCTGGGGGCTGTCAGCCCCTCATACACACTGGGTCGCAGAGGCCCCAGCCTGCCCCAGCCGCCACCTCCCTGGGAAGTTTTTGCCATTCATTCCTCAAAACTCCACTTCACCTCCCGCGTGGCCTCCAGCATGGCCCAAGCAGCCACTCTGATGGCCACACCTCCTCCTGCAATGACCGTGTAACCCTCATACCTCCTCCAGGCTGGTGTCCGAAATCCCGTAGCCGCTGAGCCCGAGCTCCCCGAGCCGCCCATCCAACTCCTGGAAGAGCTGGGCGAAGCTGCCGTCCAGGGCACCCACGTAGGGCAGGGCCAGCACCAGCTCATGGGGCAACTCCTCCACCAGCCGCGCCCCCGGCACCCGGCACTGCACCAGGGCCAGCAGATAGGCGGCATCTGGCAGGCAGGGGCACATGAGGGCCCTGCAGATTGGGGGGTTCGGCCCCCCATCTCCACCTCCCTAGGGAGGAGGCTCAGGGGCCCAAGAGGGCCTGGGATCTGGACTAGAGCCCTATAAGTCAAGGGCAGGCTCGGTTAGGTTAAAGGGAACAGATTATTTGGGCTCAACTCAGGGTCAGGGGTGTGGGCTGGGTTACCGCCATGCCAGCACTCCACCTTTCCAGGGTCCCCAGTCCTCACCGGCCACTCTGTGCTGGCCCTGCTCCTGGCAGGCCTCCAGGCTGTGCCCCAAGTCAGTGGCCCCCTGCGGGGAGAAGGACTTCATCTACAAGTCTGCGGGCCAGGCAGGGGCAGGGACAGGGTAGGGGCCGGCTCCGTTGCTCACCTTCCTGCCAGCAGTCAGGGCTGGGGTCTTGGCCAGCGTCAGGTAGTAGCCAGAGCCCAGCTGGCGGCGGAGGAAGAGTGGGGAGCCACAGCAGCACAAGCGACCGCTGGCCACCATGGCCACCCGGTCACCCAGCAGCTCGGCCTCATCCAGGTGGTGGGTGGAGAGGATGATCGTGCGGCCTGGGCGGGGCACCAACCACAAGTACCAGTTGAGCCCTGGACCAGGGCGCCCCTGCTCCACACAGCACCTTCCTCCTCCTCCTCCTGCAAACCCCCAGCAAGGCACTCCTTTCCCCAGAGAACCGTCTGACCCCTCAGGCGGAGTCCAGGGCGCCCTCACCTTCGCGGTATTGGAGCAACAGTTCCCAAATGCTGCGGCGGGAAGCAGGGTCCACGCCGGCGGTGGGCTCGTCCAGGATAACCACATCCGAGCCCCCCACGAAGGCGATGGCTACAGACAGCTTCCTCTGCATCCCTCCTGGGTGGGGCGGGGCAGGTGGGGTGAGGCTTAGCGGGACTCCACCCAGAGGGGAGGGGCAAGGGGGCGGGTTCAGCAGGAATCAGCCCAGAGGGGAGGGGAGGTCTAGCACACATTGGGCGGCGGGGTTGGGGTTGGGCGCTTTAGGCCAGAGAGGATTTAGGTCTTAGGACTCCAGCTCTGGGCGTGGCAGAAGCAAGGTATAGCAGGACCTCAGCTGTACCTCCGGTCCATCTCCATCTGCAGACCCGCCCTCCAGCTGGGCCACCCCACCCTGGCGCCCCTTCCATCCTTGGAGTGGAGTCCCCGCCCTTCCGCACCCCCCATAGCCCCAGGTACCCGAGAGGTGGCGCGTCTGTGTCCCTCGCTTGGGCACGAGCCCCACGTCCCGCAGCAGCCGGTCCTGCTCTGGGCCCACAGCGGCTGCACTGAGACCCTTCAGGCGCCCGTAGAACCAGACGTGCTCGTCCACCGTGAGCCTGTGGCCGGGTATGGACACGGACCAGATGCTGGTGGGCAGGCCAGGGCAGACGCCCTCCCACACAGGCGCATGCCCCTCCGCCCACACGCACAGGTCGAAGAGTACGTTGTACTGGGGGCAGATGCCCAGGTGGGGCCGGATGGCTGCCATCTGGGTGCGGACGTCGTAGCCGAGGATGAAGGCGGAGCCGCTGCTGGGCGGGAAGAGCCCACTCAGGATGGACCTGGTGGGGGAGGGGTATCAGGGGAAGCCTAGGCCCAGAGAAGCCCCCGGCAGCCTGGCCCAATTGGGTGTTAGTGCCCCATTTTACAAAGTGAGATGTGCTGATGCTCACAGGAACCTGCTGGCACCTACCCTTGTTTACCTCTGCCCAGCCGAGGGTGAGCAGGGAGGGCAGGGTTTATGAGGAGGGCTGCCCACAGCGCGGTGGGTAGAGGGGAGGCCAGGGCCAAGCAGGCCGGCACTCACAGCGCAGTGGTCTTGCCGGCCCCGTTGTGGCCCAGGAAGGCAGTGATGTGTCCCTGGTAGAAGTCCAGGCTGAGGCCGCACAGGGCAGGCTGCGGGCAGCCGGGAAAGCGCTTCTCCAAGCCACAGATGGAGACTCCAGGCTTCAGGGTGGGTGGCACCTCTTCCAGCAGCACTGACGGCAGAGGAAGGAGGCTGGGGGGCAGCAGGGCCCCAGGGGTGGGCGTGCCTAAGAGACTTGGGGATGGTACAGCCAGGTCGTCAGAGGCTGGGGAGTTTAGGAGTTGGGGGAGCCCCAGGGGCCTGGGGTGTCCAGAGGAGTAAGAGGAGAGGTTCTTGGGGGAGGGCTAGTGTGTCCAGATGGGGAAGGAGAAGCTAAGGCTTGTTGGCGCTCACCATCCGGGTCCTTCGTGGGGGAGGTCGGGGCAGGGTCCTTGCCCAGTGGGGACCCACACCAGTAGCTCTTTTGGAATGGGAAGTTCCAGGATTCAGGGATCCCGTACTGGCCTGTGGGGTCGGAGGACAGTCATGTCTTTCAGCCCAGAGGTGCCTACTTCCGGCCACACATGTGGCCGGAAAAGCCCATTGGGGTCTCGAGAACAGCCAGGACATTTACCAGGAAGCCCCGCCCTCTTACCTAGGCACCTGGTCTCCAGGTATCAAAAAGTCCAAGCCCTGCCCCATCCCAGGCCCTGCCTCCAAACACCATCTCCCCTGCGCAGATGTACCCAGCCCGAAGCCTGGCCCCGCTGGGGGCTAACTCTGTCACCAATGGCCCAGATCCCGCTCTCCACCCTGCCTCCCATGCATGTGCACTGGGAGGCGCCGACTCCCTGCCACCCACCTGGGCACACAGCCTCCAGGTACCAAGTGGCCAAGCTGTACAGCATGGTGTCGAGCAGAAGCAGGCCCGAGACCTGGGCCAGGCTGAAGACGTCAGCCGGCCCGGAGGCCAGGTTGTGCCATTGCGCACCTTCACCCTGCTCCTCCAGCAGCGCCAGGTTCTCACAACCGAAGCCAAAGGCTACGGGCGACAACAGGCTCTGTGGGCAGGTTGGGCATGTCAGTGGGGGAGATGGCTTCGGGTCACCCCCCCACCTGGCCAGCCAGCCCTCACCACGGCCACGAGGCCGCCTGCCGACAGCTGGTCCCTCCAGGCCACGCACAGCACATAGGGTAGGTAGAGAGTGAAGTAGGCCAGGCCCCCACATGCGGCGGCCAGGTTGGCGTGGGAGAAGAAGGTGCTCAGGAGGAAGCTCTGAGTCACTGTGGCCATGGCGAAGGTCGCCAGGAATAGGAAGACGACGGCGGGGTGGCTGTAGGGGAGGATGTCCCCGAGCTGTGGAGGAAAGGGGTCCCTCAGAGGCCGGCTGCCCCGGCCGCGCGCACATGCGTGCGCCCACCCACCGCAGGCAGACTAGGCGCCCACCTTGAGCACTACCACGAGCAGCGCCGCGCTGAGCAGGAAGGGCGCGAGGCAGCCGAGCAGCCAGCCGAGCCAGAGCACGCTGCGGCTCAGCCCCATGGCCCGCATGGTGTCCCGCAGCCGCGTCTCCTTCTCTCGCACCACGGCCTTCACCGTCAGCGCCACCGAGTAGATCCAGGCCAGCGTCAGGAAGAGGGGCAGCGACCGGCCCAGCACGCGCAGGAACCTGGGGGATAGGGGTGAGAAATGACCCGCCCCCTTCACCTGTGGGGGCCCGCCTGTGAGACAGATGGGGTGGGGAGCAGGACAGGCACTGCAGTGTGGAAGCATTAAAGTGCTGGAGAGGCCACCTCCACCCCCGGGGGACAGGAGGGGGCATCAGACCCTAGGCCTGCCGGCAGGGGAACAGCACTGGGCGCTCACGCGTCGTCCACAAAGCACGGGTAGGGCATTTGCTGCAGGTAGAAGGCCACGCGGGGCGCAGCGCCGCTGAGCGCCTGCAAGGCCGCGTGCTCCAACAGGTCCTGCAGGTACACGAAGCCGCCCCACACGTAGCGCAGGTCGGTCACTGGGTCAGCGGCTGGGCCCGGGTCCCAAAACCTGGGGGTGGGCATGGGATGTCAGATAAGGGCCCACACAAAGGGGGTCACAGGGCCTCTCTCGTGAAACAGAACCTTAGCTCCGCCCATGCCACAGCACAGTCACACGCTGGCTCCGCCCACCAACGCCTTTCCCCTAATCTCAGCTCCCAACCCAAACCAACCTCGCAGTGCCCACACATAGCGACCCCACAGGGCAGGGCAGAACTGCCCCTGTGGGTTTCTCTTCGCGCTAGAGTCTCATCTCTCTTCCGCAGGGCGGCAGGTGGTTTCAAACTGCGGACTTAAGTTAGCGACCCAAAGTGCACGCACTGTGTGCCTTCAACAGCCTCTCGCTCGGGGCTAGTATACTGCAGACCCTAAGTCCCAGGCCCCAATTGGTCTGAGCTCAGCTCCACCCACCATGCTTCCAGCACCCAGGCCCCACCCACCAGACCACCGCACCCCCCATAGCCCCAGGTACCCGAGAGGTGGCGCGTCTGTGTCCCTCGCTTGGGCACGAGCCCCACGTCCCGCAGCAGCCGGTCCTGCTCTGGGCCCACAGCGGCTGCACTGAGACCCTTCAGGCGCCCGTAGAACCAGACGTGCTCGTCCACCGTGAGCCTGTGGCCGGGTATGGACACGGACCAGATGCTGGTGGGCAGGCCAGGGCAGACGCCCTCCCACACAGGCGCATGCCCCTCCGCCCACACGCACAGGTCGAAGAGTACGTTGTACTGGGGGCAGATGCCCAGGTGGGGCCGGATGGCTGCCATCTGGGTGCGGACGTCGTAGCCGAGGATGAAGGCGGAGCCGCTGCTGGGCGGGAAGAGCCCACTCAGGATGGACCTGGTGGGGGAGGGGTATCAGGGGAAGCCTAGGCCCAGAGAAGCCCCCGGCAGCCTGGCCCAATTGGGTGTTAGTGCCCCATTTTACAAAGTGAGATGTGCTGATGCTCACAGGAACCTGCTGGCACCTACCCTTGTTTACCTCTGCCCAGCCGAGGGTGAGCAGGGAGGGCAGGGTTTATGAGGAGGGCTGCCCACAGCGCGGTGGGTAGAGGGGAGGCCAGGGCCAAGCAGGCCGGCACTCACAGCGCAGTGGTCTTGCCGGCCCCGTTGTGGCCCAGGAAGGCAGTGATGTGTCCCTGGTAGAAGTCCAGGCTGAGGCCGCACAGGGCAGGCTGCGGGCAGCCGGGAAAGCGCTTCTCCAAGCCACAGATGGAGACTCCAGGCTTCAGGGTGGGTGGCACCTCTTCCAGCAGCACTGACGGCAGAGGAAGGAGGCTGGGGGGCAGCAGGGCCCCAGGGGTGGGCGTGCCTAAGAGACTTGGGGATGGTACAGCCAGGTCGTCAGAGGCTGGGGAGTTTAGGAGTTGGGGGAGCCCCAGGGGCCTGGGGTGTCCAGAGGAGTAAGAGGAGAGGTTCTTGGGGGAGGGCTAGTGTGTCCAGATGGGGAAGGAGAAGCTAAGGCTTGTTGGCGCTCACCATCCGGGTCCTTCGTGGGGGAGGTCGGGGCAGGGTCCTTGCCCAGTGGGGACCCACACCAGTAGCTCTTTTGGAATGGGAAGTTCCAGGATTCAGGGATCCCGTACTGGCCTGTGGGGTCGGAGGACAGTCATGTCTTTCAGCCCAGAGGTGCCTACTTCCGGCCACACATGTGGCCGGAAAAGCCCATTGGGGTCTCGAGAACAGCCAGGACATTTACCAGGAAGCCCCGCCCTCTTACCTAGGCACCTGGTCTCCAGGTATCAAAAAGTCCAAGCCCTGCCCCATCCCAGGCCCTGCCTCCAAACACCATCTCCCCTGCGCAGATGTACCCAGCCCGAAGCCTGGCCCCGCTGGGGGCTAACTCTGTCACCAATGGCCCAGATCCCGCTCTCCACCCTGCCTCCCATGCATGTGCACTGGGAGGCGCCGACTCCCTGCCACCCACCTGGGCACACAGCCTCCAGGTACCAAGTGGCCAAGCTGTACAGCATGGTGTCGAGCAGAAGCAGGCCCGAGACCTGGGCCAGGCTGAAGACGTCAGCCGGCCCGGAGGCCAGGTTGTGCCATTGCGCACCTTCACCCTGCTCCTCCAGCAGCGCCAGGTTCTCACAACCGAAGCCAAAGGCTACGGGCGACAACAGGCTCTGTGGGCAGGTTGGGCATGTCAGTGGGGGAGATGGCTTCGGGTCACCCCCCCACCTG